GTGGCAGTAACTTACTTCTGAGTTATTTTTTTCTCTAAAATATTTTTTTAAAAGTCAGGTGATCCGGGAGATGTTGGGTGGGTACACTGATGCCCTGGGCACCAATATTTGAGGATCTTCTTACCGACTACAACTGGTATCAGTTCCGTAGATCGGGGCAGCTGCAGGGACCTATAGGAAGACTCCCCAAAGTGACAGGGATCATGCAGAACAAGATGTTCAACCTCAGTGAGTCAGATGCAAGCCCTTAAGAGCTTTCAAGGTAACTACCAGCCCTTTGCATTTTGTCCAGAAACAAATCAGCAAGTCATGTAATGTTTTTCAAATACTGGTATAATATGATCTCTCAGATTGCCCCAGAGAGAGACCTGACTGCCAATTTTTAAAGTAGCTAATGTTTCAGAATTATATACAAAGGCAGACCCATGTAGAACAAATAAGTTACAGCAACCTCAATAGCTGGGGTGAAATGCCTGCTTAAAAAATAAGCTTTGTTTCTTGGCTTGTCGATAGAGAAGAGCATCTTCTATGACACCCGTGGTCTGTATCACTGGCTCTCCAGCGAATCTCCATGTTGTTTTCTCAATATGAGAGACAGTCTGGTGTAGTGGTGAAGGTGGTGCACTAGAAGCTGGGAGACCATGAGTTTTAGTCCTCCCTTAATCATGAAAGCCATCTCAGTGATTTGGGGCCATTCTTTCTCAGTTCAACCCACCTCCCAGCATTCTTGTGGTGGGGAAAATGGGGGGCAGGAGCATTATGTCCTCCACCTTGAGTTGTATCAACTAAAGGCAGGATATAAATCTAATAATAATCATAATACTTGTGGGGGACAGACTTTTACTCAATGAACAGAAAGCTTTCTGCTGATTCTTCTGTTTGTTTGTCTGATTTGTGTCTTATTTAAATTTTAAAAGCTTATGTGGTTTAGATATTGTGAGCATTTTAAAGATAAAATACACCAATTTGACTTTTTCTCTTGAGATCACTGGTGGGCAACCATTGTTCTGCCCTTTTCTTAATAAATATTTATTTATTTAAATATAAATAAATAAAACAGGAATAGCAACATCATACCAGTGTCACCACTAAATGCAAACTCAAAATTCATTTTTGTAGGATACTAGCACCCATCTCCTTGGAATTAAGAATGAAGAAAGTAAGCAATCTGTGTATAATATTTAAAACAGGAAGGGGAAATAAAAGGAAGATGGCTGGAAATTGATGCCACACTGAAAACAATGAAGCAGCTTTAAACAAATTGCATCCCTTTGATGAGAAAAGGTTAATTAAATGTTGATAAATCAGCAATGATCAGCTTTTGTGGGGTTCATAATAAGCAGGTGGGCAGTGGATGGAGCTGAATCAGCAAAGGGTTTTCCTTACTGGATTATGAGAAACGATTAGATATTTTTTACCCTGTCCTATCTCTTGGACCAGAATTTGGAAGCTAGACTATTAATTACAGGCTCCTGGTTTTAACTGGGCTATTACCATGGCATAGGGCCTGGTTACTTGAGGAACTGTCTGTCTCCCATAGAATCTGCCCATCCAGTTTGATCTGCCAGGGTTGGCACACTCTGGGCTCCATCAATTAAACAATGCCACCTATAGGGACCCCAGAAGTGTGCCTTCTATATAGCAATACCTGCCCTCTGGAATGAGGTTCCCCCTGAAATTTGAATGGCTCCCACCCTACCAGCATTCTGAAGAGCCTTAAAGACCTGGCTCTTCACCCAGACCTTTGGAGAGGACAACTGATGTCCCTTTCTTCCTTTCTGTTCCCCTCTGGGTTTATTTTCTTGGCCATCGTGGTTCTTTTATTTTCTGCTGTTTTTGTGTTTTTGTATTGTTCTTTGTTTTTAAATGGTTTTAACTGCCCAGAGTCACTGGGAGTCAGGCAGCATATAAATTTAATGCATTGTTATTATTATGGTTGGTCGCACAGTCAGCCAGAAGTTTAGACTGGATTTGGCATTTTGATCCCCCTATCGAGTCCTTCCCAAGGATCTGGGATAGGCAGATACTGCTGTTTGATGTTGTTAAAGGTATTGTTGCAGGATATAAGCTGTTCCAGGTAAAGCTGCCTTTTGCAATTGACTGATTGATTCTGTCAATGCTGATGGTCTTCAAGTGGTGCTCCAGATCTTTTGGGATCGCACCCAAGGCGCCTATTACTATTGGTACTAACTTGGCTTTCTTTTGCCACAGTTGTTCTAGTTCTATTTGCAGGTCTTTGTATTTTGTGATTTTCTCCAGTTCCTTCTCTGCTATTCTGCTGTCTCCAGGTATTGCAATGTCCACCATCCAGACTTTTTTTGTCTTTCTTATCCACAATTGTTCAGTCTGGGGTGTTGTGTGGCAGGTGCTTGTCTGTTTGGATTCTAAAGTCCCAGAGCATTGTGCAGAAATTGAGCCAGCCTTTTAGAAACGATCTGTGAAAAAGGTACCCTGGTTCTTTTTTGGACAGCCTCTTCCGCTTCTATTATTCTGGGCTTGGTTGAAAGTTGCACATTTGCAGTACAGATGCAAAGTGAAACTCTAGGATTTGGTATATCTGCTTCAATTTCATTAATATGTTAATACAGACTAGAAATCCAATCTGTCCAAATTAGTGTTTATTCTGTCAAAAGATGAGCCTTTTAAAGAAATCAAATCCTCTATCCATTAACCTTGCTCTTTTTCTGTTCATCATACACAGTGGATTGTGAACCTGAGATCTTGCACAATCAAGCTGATGACATTAGAACAGGCATTAGCAACCCAGTCTCGCAGGTGCCAAGCATCGGTTGCGCTCCAAAACAAGATATGCAGCTCCCCCAAATTAAGTTTAAATTAAATCAAGTTGGGGAAAAAAGTATAAACATTGGCAGAAAAACTTGCATGGTTCTCAGATCTTGTGAGATTTTGGCCTTATCCATGGTGAGCATCTCAAGATGGTGCAAATGCTGAGGCGGTTTCAGCAGTTTTGCACAAGATTTCAGGGAGTTTTCCAAACTCATGAGTTTGGGAGCCATTTGGAGAAGAGAATTGCCCAGGCTGTTGTGCAGGAGACCATTTTGCCAATGGATAAACCTTCTCGTCTGTCTGATTGGCTATGATTTTGATGTTCTGCAAATTTATGAACAACAAAGCATGAAAGAAAGGACAATAGGAAAAAATCATAAGAATTCTCATGACGGACCCCCATAATTAGCTAGAGTTGAAAGCACATGGGAATAGCACTGATTGTACCTTCTTGTGAAATGGAAGTTTGGATGGAGCTGAACGTAGGAAGCATTGCAGAGCATGGAGGCTACTGCAGTGAAGTAGTTTGCGTGGGTGGGCATTTTTTAAGCGGAAGAAGATTCTCAGGTGACCTTCTCTAGATGTTTGAACCAGATGGGCAGGTTTAATTCTGCTAAAGTTACCTGAGGGACCACATCTCCCTGATTACATCTGCCTGTCCCATCAGGTCTGGCAGAGAAGGCACGCTGTGGGTCCCATCTGCTAGAGAATTACATTTGGCGGTTCCCAGGTCGTGGGCCTTCTCTGCTGTGGCATCCGCCTTGTGGAATCTTCTTCCCCCAGAAGTGAGATTAGCTCCATCCCTCTTAACATTCCACAAGTCTCTCAAGACCTGGCTATGTGATCAGCCCTGGGGGTCCCAGGGGACCGGGGAGATTTTGCGATGGCTCCCTTATTAATTTTATCCTTCCTATATTGTGTTTTTACAGTTTTTTATGTGTAATTGTTTTTATGTATTTATTCTTTTTAATTGACATACGCCGCCCAGAGTCATTTTGCGTGAGATGGGCGGCTATATATATATATATATATATATATATATAAATAAATAAATAAATAAATAAATAAATAAATAAATAAATAAATAAATTTGTTGTGTTTGCCATTTCAGCATTTTAAAGTACCTTTATATCCAAATCTTGGCTGTCCACAATATTCTCAGGAGTCTTCTCCAATTATATCCAAATACTTGTTTTTATGAATGAAAAGGGTTTATGTGTGTGCATGTCTGTACATACATGCATGCATATATGAAGCTGTTCTTACTGGACGGATGGAAAGAGAGTGCAATGTGGCAAGAATGTAAATTATGGTACTGCAGGAGTCAAGTAGATACCTGTCTTAAGCCTTAAAACCTTGGGTTGAGGGCCTTCTTGCAGATACTGAACACTTAGTCTTGGACTATAATTCCAATAGGAAGAGGAAATGGGAGAACATTCAGAAGAATCCTTCTTCTGAAGCTAGTGAAGCACCAATATTCTTCAAGACAAGAATCTGGACTTTCTCTTTGGAGTTCATATGGACAGTAATTTCATTCCTTCCTTCCTTGAAATCTAGTGGCTAAGAGTTGTTGTGTAGGGGTATCTGCAGGAGGGGTCCCCAAAAAAATCAAGGTGTGGCAGCGATTCATGCAGTGAAACCCTGCCCTTTTTTAATGTGACTTTTTTCCCACCTGCCTTGCAAATATCCCTGTTATTGTATTTGAATCTCTAAAATATAGTTTGTCCCAGTAGTTGCTTTGCAAATTATGGCTTTATAAACTCAAAAAAGTTGTATACCATTTCTACAAAAGCCAGCAGAGTATTGTATAATAAAATGAAAAAGAAAGTTAAACAGCCTAAAACTTGAAAAAAGTTTAACAGTTCTTGCAAGAGAAACACTGCTTAATGAAGATAGGCAGCAATGGCTACACTGCAAAGGAGGAGATTGCAACTATTTTATTATTTAATATTCATATGACACAGACACACTCACGTGTATATATCCCATTTTATGTCATGCATTTGCTGGAATGAGTAAGCTGATGTAAAGCATATAAAATACAATGATAAAGCATGTGTATTACAACAATGGCCATAAGTAATTCAGCTGGATTGTCATGAACTCTCAGATGCCTGAGGTATATAGAATAATAGATAAATAGAATAAATAAATAATATTTATAGATAAAAAATAATAGGTAAATAGAAACATTTTCAGCTCCTTACAAACAATGGCTTTAATGAACAGGAGAGTTTATTGTGCTGGACAGTTTAGGTACGGGAATATCAAACAGAACTGGCACTTTGCTGAACCAGGAAGCAAAGAGCCTCCACGTGCCACCATATTTCTAGGAAATACCCATCTCCCTCCTCCTCTGCCACTTGATGGCTGGAAGTAATTCTTCTTCAGTATCTGACATTGGGTAGCTCTTTGTCCTCTGGAAGTTCCATCACTGTAGCAAGCTCATCAACCTTGGTTTCTTAAGCCTGTTGACTTGCTGTACTCCTGCACTTGCTGCAAGATATAAAGGACCTTAGGATGATGACTGAAACCTGATCTACATGAAGAAGAAATGTCCTTTTAAAAATAAGAAAGAGAAAAAGAGTATTTTGTGATGAATGTCATGTCGCTTCAAGGATCATAGTAGATGACATAACCAAATTGCAAACCAAGTGATCTATTGGTGCCTTTCACAATGAAATGGTCCCACGCCAAATAATTGATCAAAAAACAGAATTCTGAGTTAAATGGAGTCATTCTCTTTCTGCCCAGACTACAAGTTCAGAAAGGATTGACATGTTCTGGGTCTCCTAACTAAAAGCATGTCATCTTGTGGGATCTTCTTTGTTGCTGTACCTGCCCTTTGGACAGGCATCTGCCCCAAGACTTTAAAAGACCCTTGAAGACCTGGCTCTTCCCACAGGCATTGGAGCCAGGATGATGAGTAAATCTGCCAAGCAGTGTGTACTTGGAGTTTGTCTTCCCCCAGTGAGGCATTTTTATTGCTGTGATTGCTTGTTTTCCCTATGTTGATGTTTGTAAATCTTTTGTAAGCCGCCCAGAGTCACTTGGAGAGTGGACAGCCTTAGAATTTGAAGAAATAAATTAACCCACAGATTTCCAGGCAGTCTCTCTTCATGTTTTTGACATGCTGGCGAGCCTTATCCCCCCCCCCCGTTTCCCCATCTGCATCCCTCCAGGACCTGAAGGACCAATTTCTGAAGAGGGGAGCCCTCTGGAGGCTGCTTCTGAGATTTTGTACCCTGTTTACCCTCATGGGAGAGAATGTGTAAAAAAAAACCTTTTTAAAAAACGCTTCCATAAGGAAATGTGACTTCTGACAAAAAGCCTTTTACATCCGCAAAACGTTTTGGCATGTCCTGATTAATTACCATCCAACAGAACATTGCACGTTTCTCTTCAAAATGGCTTGGCACCACACACTTTACCACACTGTAAAAAAGTTTGGATACAGAACTCAAAGTATCTGCCACACCCTTCTTTTGAACTGCAGTCTCAGTTAAGAAAACCCCCAGCTACATGCCAACCATGAGGCTGTGCATTTGGTTCAAAACTAATCTAAAAAACGACAGGTTGACTTATATTCAGCTTTCTCATGTTAGCACAGAAGAATGAAAAGCCATAGGAAAAATATGGAAAACAACTTACATTTGCTTGGCCAATTATGCACAGCTGTTGTTGAATTGAGGGGGAAAATGCTTGGAACATGCCAAAAAAGAGGCAGTGAATAAGATGAAGGAAAGAGAACTTATTGGCATTGAATGTGTTCCTTCCAGCCACTTGAGAAGACCAGTGAAGTTCTTTGTAGGAGAAGGACTGATTTGTATTATTTTATTAACTAAAATTGGACTATAAGCATTTTATGTTTGAAAAAATTATGTGTGGTTTCAGTTGGTTTCAGGAACAGGCTATGCTGATGACTGTTTATTCAAGATCTGTTTTATTCACTTTTTGAAGATATTAATGCTGTGCAACTCTTGGCTGATCTATAAATCTAAGCAGCTTGGTCCTTGTTAGTCCAGGGCCATAGGCTAGACTTACTGCTTTTCAAAAACAAACAAATCATCCCACAAGAAGGCAATGATATGCCACTTCTGTATCTTGCCAAAATATGACATATAAGGCACTAGAAGTCAAACTTTTGAAAACGTTTTCATCATCATCACCATCATCATCTCAGATGAGATTTTGGTATTGCTATGTAATTGGGCCAAAGGAATCTGCCCTGGAAATCTGCCATTCTGTCATTGCATATGCAACATTAAAAATGTCTACTAGAATTTCCCATGAGAAAAAGCCTCAATCTTTCCCAAATATACACGCATAAGCAATAAATCATATATCCAAGATCGTTTCATGGTTTAACTCTGATAAATCACCTCAGGAGTTCAGTAATAAAAGTCCTTGAACTTACTGTTAAAACAGAGCATAAACAACTGTGTTTCCTTCAAGCTGCTAATGGATCTACAGTTTTTAAACTGCTAGGGAACACCATGGGGTATTATCCTATTGGGACTGTTGATGAGAACATCCAGGGTATTTTCACATTTCCTTGGAAAATAATTTATCAAACACTAGAAAAATGTGGTCCTAGAAAATTACGGGGCTCATGTGCAAGGACTGTAGCTCAGTAGAAGCTCAGAGTACCTTCATTTCATGTCTAAAATCCCAGGTCCAACCTCTGCCATCCCAGAGGGAACAGAAAATGTATTTCCTGACATTTTGCAGAGTTGCTGCCAGTAACTGTTGATAGTTGTGTCATAGAAATGATATGATATGAGAAATTCTGTGGGAGAGTTCAGAGTTGCCTTGGAAGATACGTTAATGTGGATTAGACATTTGGAACCCACTGGCTCAACTGCAGCCAGAAGACTACATGGAGTAGGGATAGACAACTAAAGGCTCTAGGACCACATATGTGCCATCTTAAAATTGCAGGAAAAGGCTTCACAAAATAAATTATATATATGTAACATAGTTTTTCCCCATAATTTTACCTTTTTAATTATACTAATATCAGTTTCAGATTTGATCCTGGGGTCATTCTTTTTGTCCTGGTCTTGCAGCCGTGGAACAGCACTCAAAGACTGAGGGTAGTCCTTGGCCCCACAACTTTGCACATTCAAAGCTGGAGTGTAAATAATCAGTTTCCCTGGCAAAAAATCATAGTGTGGGGATGGAACACTTCTCTGAGGGTAGAAAGCTCCAGAATCAATCCCCAGCCATCTCGAGATAGGGCTGGGAGAGTCTCCTAGCACTTTGTTGCTCAGAACTATTTACTCGATGAGCAATGGTGGTGATCTTTGATTCTTCAGTGTTTTGAGACAGTTTTGGGGAAAAAGGAAAAGAGTAATTTTTTTGACCTCAGTCCACAGAGTTCAAAGGGTTGAGCAAGACAAGACCTTTCAACCTTGACTAATATCTAGCCAAGTTTCAAGATATGAAACTCCCTAAAAGGAAAAAAAAATGAAAATAGACATTCAATTCACATGTATTTTAAAAGAGAAACTTAGAATGCTTCAAAGAAAGTGGTCTTATTACATTTTTATTCTACCTAATGGAGAAACACCTTTCCAAGTGACTTGGGCTGTAAATCTGAGAGCCACAGTTTCTCCCATTACGCCCAGCTTGCAGAAGAAGTGGGGGAAACATCTCTTCATAAATCTAAAGAAATCCAACACTTCACCTGCTTAGGGTCATGTTGCTCATTGTACCCAGAGTGCATTTATCTGGCTTGAAAAAGAAAGAGGCTAAAAATAAAGAAAGGAATGAAGGCTTAATATTCTGGCTCAGTCCCATACAGGCTTGAGCTTCTCCATTTCACTGCTGTCAGCTCCTTTGTTTCCCCTTCCCTTCCCTCCATCCCACACGTGAGGCAAAGTATCCAGCTAGCAGAGACATCCTGATTAATTTCACCACCTCACTGATTTCCTAACAATGTGTTTTGTCAGGGGAGCTGAGCTGAATTTCAAATCAGATGGGTCTGGAATTTGCTGCTTTGTCTGCTACAGGACAGATGATTATATACGGCCCTAATGAATTTCTGGCTCTGCATCACCTCAGGAGCCTCTTAGAAGAACCATTTTGCCTTCATCTGGTATCTGTAACTTTCCAAATGTGATCTATCACAACCCCGGGGCTCAATCCAGCCCTGAGCACATGCTGCTGTGGCCAGAGCTAGATGTGGAAAATTCTGTGAGATGGGCAGCAACTGTGCTAATCAGCTGTCTGGTGAAGCCAAAATGTTCATGAAGGCCAGAGGACTGACTCCAGATCATTGATCCCCCTTTCAAGCCAGAATGATTGCCTATTATCCAACAAAGGCTGCACATATTTATTTTTTAATGTATGTAATAGCTCATGGCATGCAAGACCAAGCTGGTAAATGATGTTGGTGAGATGTTAGCTTCAGCAGTCTGATTCAGTGGTTCTGAATCAAACACTTTGAGACTTTGTGGCCCATGGAATGGGGAGGAACACTCATTAGGTCAAGGGTTCTCAAACAGTGTGGGTTCTTGAACAACTTAGAAGGAGGGGGCATAATTAAAAAACAAACAAACAAACCTTCAGGCAGAGCTTGAACACTGTCAAAATTCACTCCTGGCTTCATTCCACCTGGGCAAGCCTGCAAAGTCTGAGAACTGTTGCAATTTATAGACTAAGATGATTAAAAATAAGTCATATTTATTTTTTGCACACCCCTTACCCTAATGAAATCCTCAGTTCACACTAATCTATTATGGGAGGAGGGAGTCAGCACAAAATTTGAGAAGCCCTGCATTAGGTCCAAAATGGATTTTTGTGAGGGTCAATACAGAATGGATAAAACATTATCTATCTTCTTGGTTGATCAGTAACTCAAGAAAAAGCAGCATTTCAGGATGAGCTAAAGCAGAGGGATGCCAAAACAAATAAGTAGGATATATCAGCCCAAGTTTTCCCAGGTCCTTGTAACAGAATTCCAACAAATCAGGATACAGTTCACTGAGGTGCTCCTTAATATGGTGATATGCCCCCTGAGGATAAATTTTCAATAAGTTACCCATGATAAGTGAAAGCCCTGGAGGCAGTCTGGGCTGCTGAGATGTCATTGCCCTTTTCTTGCTGGCTGCGTGCGTATGCTGCTGATTCAGAAATTTCAGGTCAAGTGTGGGAATGTTTAGGCTAGGAACCAATTTGCTTGATCACATTCCTCATTAGGCTGCAAGATGGGCTTCCTAACTGAGAAGCAGAATGACTCCTTCTCTCCCCTTCAACCTCCATATGTCTGTGCTATTGATTTATAGAAATAATGCCACAACCATGATTATTTTCTCTGTTTTCTTCCTATATATGTATGTATACACACACATACACAAACATATCCATAAATACAAGTACACGCTCCACATAGACATAGACATGAAATATATACAAACATACATGCCTGCATAGCGACTCTGTTCTTTTCAATTTCATATGCTATGTCTGGAGTGTTGAGTTCATAATACATGATAATGACTCCCAGAAAAAAAGAAAAAAAAGAAAGGCATGTGGTGCCTTTCTTCTAGAGGTCCATTTCTTCAAACATCCTTCCTTACTGTCAGCCGTTTGTTTGGGGAATAGGTTCCCTTCTATATTTTTATGCTGGTGCTTTTACTCAGAAATAAAAGCTGCTCAGATGAAGGGATAGCCTCTTACGTTATTCCCAAACTATGGAATGCTGTCCCCCAGGAATTGCTTTGGGCCCCCATTTTTTTCCATTCTCAGGAAAGGAATTAAGAGTTCCTTCAGCCAGGCCTTTTCCGTTATGCTAAGAAGGTTCTTACTGATTTTAAACTTGTTTATATTTTATCTTAAGCTTCTGAATACCCTCAAGCAGAAATGTGGGCTATGAATTGAATTAATTAAACAATCAACATCCAGCCCCCAAAAATAAATAATTGATTCAATTTCAGACTTGCCTTTTTACTCAGCCGAAGGCTCCAGAATGTCTTTGCATGGAACTTAGAGACACGAGAGCTTTAACGTGAATCTTTCAACAACATTTAGCCTGCATTTGAGAAACAGCTCCAAATCCATCTGGCAGTTTGTGACCTACTAAACAGCTGACTGCAGAATTGCATTTTGTTTTATCCTTTGATTTTCTGTGGCTGCTGAAACAGCTCTTCTTCTTGCCTTTTTTTTTTTTAATTGACCTTTTTTAGTAGAGGAAAACAAATCCTCATTTTGATAACACCATCTGCCCTGGTTTCTCAAGACTCACTGTAATAACTTCAGTGAAGCCACACTAAAGGAAGTGAGTAAAGACTTGGGATTTCCTCATTCCATGTTCCAGGGCTTTATCCTGAGTCTCCCTCTTCTCATATGTAAGAATGTACCTATGTGGAACTGGTATACAAGGAAACTCCACTGAAACGTCTCAGCTTTGTACAAGAACATGACCATACCAAGAGGTTCTCACTGGATTCCTTAGGAAGGCTACAACACAGAAAATGTGAAAAGACACTTTCTCATGGAAAATGCAGACAGATATAATTCTACTGCTTCCCCCCACTAACACACTTTTTAAACTGGTCAAGTGATACAGTTGTTTTTTAAATGAACGTTGTCCTTCTTTTAGAATTGGTTCTTGGGTTTGGTATCCGCCATTCAAGTCAAACTTTTGAAACTTCAGATTCATTCAAATATGTTTATTAGCCATGTAGTACTTTTATCAAGGCAATTGTTAGCTACCTGATGCACAAACCTTATTTAATTTATTTTATTCCCAAAACAAAACAGGGGGATCAAGAGTGACTGGGGGATTGTTGAGCGGGGGGTGTTGATACAGTCCAAATATTGGACTGACATCCAATATAATGCATGTGATTTTGTGACAGAGATAGAAAATTGTTTGCTATAACTGATTACTTAGCAGAAGCATAACAGTAATTCATGACTAATGCTACATTCCCTAGTCACATGCACCAAAGATGGCTTCCAAGGGGAAGAGGGAGGTGAGGAATCCTGCAGATCTTCAGCTGCCTGAAAGTTCTCAGGTGTTTGAGTAAGACCTTCTGGTCTGGAAAGATGTCGCTACATTCCAGCCTACTGACAAACTGTGTTCATCCATGCTTGCCTTGTCACTTGAAATGATTTAATCGGCTTGTGACTTTTAATTGCCTTGTGACTTTTCTGATTTAATTAGAAATAACTACAGCTTATCAAACTAGGGGTGCCTGAGTAGGTGACTGGTGTGACTGCTGAGTCTGCAATCCATAGTCTAGCTTTGAATGGGTGTTAGAGATTCTGTTCTACCTTCTTAGAGCTTTCGAAGCCTCTTGAAGCCACACAACCAGAGATGCCTTCCATTAAAGAACTTTCTTCTGTAAAGGAAAGCCTCTCTAATCTGCCTTCAAATTATTTTGGACAAATCTTTACATTGGGCTCAAAAGTGAGTTGAAAAATTAATGCTGATCATATGAGAGACTATCTCATCTGATTTAAATTTCAGATTCATTGCCCTTGGCCACCTAAAAGAGTCTCCAGTTACTTGTTCAGAAGTTCATAGTCCACTGAATTAATTAGTAAAATGGAAAGGCAGAGTAGTGTGTCATCTACTACATGTATGGATGAAATGTTAATTCAAACCTATAGATGACTGAGGACTGGGGAGAAATTTCTTCTTATTAAGTGTATATACCTGAATTTATACTCAAATTAGTACAGAATTTTAATCCCAGACCCATAGTTTCCTGAATTACAACATGAAGCTGGATAATAAAAATGTCTTAATATTGATATGTTGGGTTTAAAAAAATCTCCCAAGATAATTGCTTGTAAAAATGTATGTAGGAGGAAGTATGCACACAGAAATATATACAGTGAGGAAAAGTACATTTAAAATATATATACATTGAGAGAAATGGGCAGGAACATGCATACAGATTTTTGTGTCAACTTTTTAAAAAAAGAAATCACCAATACATGCAACTGCATTGAGAAGCTGAGTTTCTGGAAAACGATTAAATCCTGGCTTGTTGTGAGGGTCCTGAAAGTACAGCTACTGTAATATGAGCAGTAAGCCCCTTCCATGACTTTATGTTGGACTCAAAATTATTTCCCATATAAAAACAATGCAGGGCTGGATATAATTGGAGATCATTTCTAACTTTCACATAGCATTGGTATGTATTAATGAATATGTTTGGTGTCCTGCTTATATGTACATTTCTTATGTTCTTTTCTATTTTCCATTCAAATCAGAAGGTTAAAATTGAACATCTGCCAAGAGAAATTGTCCCAATTTTCTTAGAAATCAGTATTTTAAAAAATTGTGAAAGCAAACCAGGAAAGGCAATAAATGGGAGCGTGATGCAAGAGATGCATATTACTACTAGTGATAGTAGCAATATGTGGAATTGAGATGAGGGATTTAAAACAACCTTCCCCAGATTAAAGGAATACTACAAGATTAAGAACCAAACCCAAACTTCTATGAAGTTCCATGCTAAATTGTAATGAGTTTATTCAACCATAAGCCTTCCTTTTTAGCAGCAGCCCAGACCTGAAACCAAGCCCCCCTTCCAAATTTCTCTTGCAAAGAAAACAGAGAAATCATGATAACTGGGAAAGCCTGGTACTGAATGAAGAGTGATGGAGTTCTCTTCTTCAAGAATTCTTATGATGATGTTCATATGGTAGAATGTTCTATCACGTTGTTTCCCCCTAACTTGGGTTCAATGGGAAACTTGTTTTTCCTGTGTTCCCTATATGAAATAAGTCTCCCATGTATGTTCTGGAGGGCCCATGCTTTTAATGTGAGGCAGTACTAGCCATACTTCTGGACAAGCATCTCTATTTACTGCTGGAACTATGCAATACATCTGAGCTATGCATAGAATGAAATGGGAGGAAAGCACAGCTGTGAGGATTACAATGTACCCCATGACAGGTTTTAATACTGCAAAGAAAATGTGGCAACTGAAAATACAGATTTGGAGAAAGCAGCTGGAAAGTTATTTCCCGTTGCTAATCGTGAAACACAAAGAGCCTTCTGTAGAGTGGAGGGTGCTGTGTCTCATCCTAACATTAATTTGCTTTCCATTAAGATATTTATGACAGCATCAAGAATGCTAAATAATGGACAGTAAATGAAAACAAGGGGTTCCAAATAAAGAATGCTGACCTGTCATCTAAATACCTCGAATTCTTTCCCAGATGGACAAAAGTTCTGTAAAGACTTAGGGTGAAAACAACGATTTATACTTGGTTTAACTGGATGTGGGTTGCCTTAACAACTTCCACTAAGGCACATTCCAGCATTTATGAATCCCCACAGCTATGTGTGCTAACGTTAGTGACCACATAGGTCTCATTTCTGTCACATTGCTGCAAGAGCAATCTCCAATGTCCTTCCTCAACTCACAACTTCCCATATTTGCTTATTTAATAAAAAGGAGAATCTTCTTTCAAAGTCAAAGACAACTCATGCTTCCTGTTCCTTTTGTGATGAGAAACAGCCCAGAATGGGGCCACAAGCTTTAATGGGAACCCATGTGTATCTTTTACAGTACTAATATGGTCCTGATATCCATCCTCTAATTTCACCAAAGTTTTTTCTTCCCCCAGCAGAATTCAAGACAGA